AACTTAGATCCAAAGCAATTAGGATTGCATGATCACATAAGAATGTAGATATGCTCATAACCGAACAAGAACGTGGGCTGGGGCATAGCAACCGAGGAACAGAGAGGAAGGTTCAATCGAGAACGAAAAAGAAGACAACCATGACGTCGACTTACTTCTCCAATCTCCAAACTGATGCGATTTCTTCCGGGTTTACCGTCGGTCTTCGATATCACCGACAACAAAGGATGCCAGTGGACGCTTAGTAGTGCTAGGTAGCGGTCGAAGTTGATAGCGGTAACTGAAGGTAGGGAAATAAGGTGGCAGTTGCAAAATGGCTTTAGGGTTAGGGTGATACAAAAAGGAAGACGAGGGGGAAAGGGAAGCGGGTTATTCGTGTGTTCTCTTCAAACACATGACCATTTTCCAAGTTTGGCCCTCCTCCACCAAATATTTTTCAACTTAACCCCAATATTTACCAATCATCCTCCGACTTCTGAAATTCTTAACAATACCACCCCGAAAGTTACACTTTAACCCCCAAAATCCAAAATTATGACATTTAACTCCCCGAAACCAACACCCTGCTAAATTATTATGGATTTAGGGCTACAATAAAATATAATTTACATCTCGGGGTTTAGGGTTTATTATTTATTTAATTTAATTTCAAATGGGATGTTACAAATATGAATACATTTAATACTAGAAACGTAAATCATGCCTCCACCCAACACAAGGAAAGTCGTGCTTCTCCTTTCTCTGCTCTCTCAACTTAGTAAACCATCAAAAAACAAGGAAAAACATCTTTATAATTTTGGTCTAGTCGTGGTCCATATCGCTCGTGTTGCTACCAATAACGGTGATATGTTTTTATCATTATCTCCTATATTAATAGAACTTTTGTAATGTCTTGATTTTCAAGGTATTTATTTTTTCATTTTTATTTATTCAAAACATAAGTCTTACACACGTTATATTACAAAACCATTGTCACATATTTATTTATAAAATAGAGTTTTGGCGGAAGTCTTAAAATATTATTAATGCCTTCGATGCCGGTACAATCATGCATGAGCCTTTCCTCGATCCAAAGAACAACCCGAAAAGCAGTTATTCAACAACTATAAGTCGAGGCTTAGTGAGTTCCCCCAAGATACCATACACCACTATACATATACAATGCATACACATAATGGCCTTCGGCATAAAGCTGGTCCGCCTTTGGTCTTTTATGTAAAGCTGGTTCGACCTTTGGTCTTAAACGTAACGTTGATCTGCCCGAGTATATTGGCCTTCAACACAAAGCTTGTCCATCCGGAACTCCCCCTACACACACACACACACACACACACATATATATATATATATATATATTAACACTTATACAACATACAAACAGTTCGATACAATATGCAAATAAACTATGCTAGTTTAGTGGCCTAATTGCATACTATAGGGAAAATATATTCTAACATACATAGGATACATACTAGAGAATATAATATAGTGAGAAAGCTCAGTTGGAAAATTTCTTAAATGGTTAACAACTACCCGGGTAATCCAATTGGCAACCAATGTGCCTCGAGAAATATTGACCTATATTACTTCATCTTATTAGTCCCTATTGGAATCTGGTAATACACCCTAGATCTTTCACTAATCCGAGTGAATACTGAGAGTTCAATCAACTAAGGATCAATCAGGCAGGACAATTTCAGCATATAGCTTTTTTGATACCAACAACAAAGCCAACATGACCATTCTAGATACCTCTCTTGTAAGTAGATCAATCAGTATCATGACTAGAATTACTGATAAATCTTATTTTCACATTCATAATAATGGATATGAATATAAATATAAGTTACACTTAAAGCGTAGTAAGTATAACCTAACTTACAGAGAGTTTCTAGAGAAATCCAGAATTTACGCTGGCAGAACTTTGACTTGAGAGATCTTACTAGTCGAGCCTAGATACCCAAAGCTTTGCTAAACTAAAATATTCTGTAATCCTGAAGAAAGACCTCAAAATCAGGCTTAGAAGTTAAGAGGGAGTTGTGACATGTTGTGGAGAAGTTACTGGGGGAGTTGATCTATTTATAGGGTGAAAATCGAAGAGGCACGCCACACCTAGACCAGGAGCGCGCCACGCCCTGGCTCTGTTCGGTCTCTCTCCGCACGATACATAGCATGTTTGTAGTGGATCAATGTGGATCCCTTCTAGAAGCGTGTGTTGCACATATGCACGCGTGACGTAAGACATGAATTTTATAAATTCCGTATTTTCTTCATATGAGCTCCATTTTTTACGCTCTTTATATCCACACGTAGTTATCGATGAGATCTATAATTTTCATTTAGACTCCATCGGCTAGTTCTCACTTTGTTTTTAAAATTATTTTTAAAGGGTTCATGTTGTTAAAACCCGTATAAAAATCACAACTCTTCCATACATTATCCGTTCCCGACTGTCTTTATATCGATGGAATTGTATCTACGAGATATTCAACTCTCGTTTAGATTGTTTTGACTAACAATCAACTGATTTCTATTTCGATTTCCGTATCGCACACTGTTGCATTGAAACACTTAAAAAGAATAACCTTCATCATACAAAGTCAGATTTAGAAGTTATCTATATACACGCTCTCTCTTTTATGACTACTACGAATTTCGTTTAGATCACATAGGTTTATAAGGAATCTATCTCTGATTTGTATTTTATGACACGCTTTGCCGTATAAGGCTGAATGGAAAACTTTAAAGAATCATAATTTCTTTATACGAAGTCAGATTCAAATGTGTTATATATATATATATATATATATATATATATATATATATATATATATATATATATATATATATATATATATATATATATATATATATATATATATATATATAGTATTGATATCTTCTACATCTTTATAATGATTATTTTCGCTCAAAAAGTAATATATTTCTACGATAATAATTATTTAATATTATAGAAATGATGTGTTACAACTTTACAAATAGATATAATGAATTTGAATATCATATTTTTGATGGTCGTGGGAATCAAGTTTATCTAAATGATATTGGTTTATGGAATATATGTTTTTTTCTTGATTAACAATAATTTCACCGATAGCAATATCATATCATATTTTAAATCTTTGATTACCTATTAAATTATTTATTTTATTGTTGTTCACAGCGTTTATGAACATGATTATTTGTTATTTAGACTTAGAGAAATCAAATATCCTTTTATTTTTTTTCTCTATACATTAGATTATGATATTTGTTATATTCAATAAAATTAATAAATTTTTATTACACTTATTATCATTTAAAAGTGATAAAATGATGAATAAGAATAAAAAATAGAAGTATATTTAATTTTTCTAAGACTTACGGCTTAGTTTTTAGTATTGATTAATATTATGTGTATTTCTTTTTCACATGCATGAAATAATAGACATTTTTCTTTATGTATGAATTGTTTATGCATTGTCTAGACATTTTTGGACGATTTAATTTCTATGGTTGGTTGTTTAAAGTAAATTGTATTTGGTTATCGGCCGTTTTAAGCCTATTATTATAATAAAGGAAAAATTAAGTTTTCATTGTATATATTTTGTGTAAATTATAATATTTTGTATTTAGATAAGAGGAAATGTGAAACAATAAACCCTAGCGAACCAAATAACAACTCGATAACATCTTCAATAAGAACTAAAGGCTCATTTCCGTTGGCCTTAATATCCTATGGGTGCCTCATTGACATAGATGAGTAGTGTCCCAATAGACAACAAGTGGCCTCCCTACGACATAACAATGGTAACACGACGACTGACGATCAAAACGTTTTTATTTTTTTCCTTTTTGCATTGGTCTTTTTCATATCATTTTAAAGTTCATTTTTAAAATATGAAAATGCACAATTTAATCGCTTATCAAAATTTATATTGTCTTCTAATTGTTAAAATAACCTCTACGTAAAATTTATATTCTCTTCCAATTGTTAAAATAACCTGAATGCATTTGAGTCTGATAAGATCTAGCTGTATTGTAACCCAAGATTAATTTTGCATCCTGGTAACAAGTAAGACAAAATTTTACATTTTCCAAAGACGATTTATTTGTAGGGCCTTAGTAAGACATAAACATCAGACAAGTTTAAAACTAAACATACGAAATTTACCGGTTATTGTTCAAATCCACATACAAATTTATAAGTTGCAATCGGTACCAACTACCTACATGTTGAACTTATTGTTATATGTACGATCTATGGTGCATGAAAATAAACTTTAATCGAGATCTAAGCCTTAAATAAATTAATTTATTCAGATTAATTTATATAGGATCAAAATATACTAAGTTTTGTAATTGGGTTTTCCGTGAACCTAACATGGCAATCCCTCTTGTAGATCATGTTATCCTTGTAAAATTATTAGATCCGATTATCCTTGTATAATTATGGTAACCAATTTATTTCATTTTTTTTATCAAAATACTCAAAAGTAAGAGAATAAAATTGAAAATCATAACTTATATGTTATTTCAAAAGAGCGTTTACAATTTGGAGAATAGTAGTTTGACTAAACTTCATTATCTACAACTAATTTCCTAATAACAAATGGATAATCGTTGTTATATTCTATTCCTATAAATTGATGAAAATTATTTAACTGACATTGAAATAGTATTTTAAATTATTGGAACCTTTTACCTTTGATTGCATGAATAGTTTAATAAACAATTTTTTTTTAATAATGATATTAGTTTTGGTAAATAAATTAATTAGTAATTTTATTCTATTTTTTCGGATAATTAGCTGATAACAATAATCTCTTATTTAAGAAAATAAACAGCAAAGTATAATCACTTCATATTATATTTCTCCTCTCTTTCAACCTTAACGCCATCTTTATAGTCTAGCTGTCTTCTCTCTCACACACTAAACACACACAATTCTCTTCCTTTATATATATTTATCTTTCAATTCACTCCTCTGATCGCTTCTTCAAATTCCGATTGATTACAGTAACTTTTACATCAACGATCGCCTGTTTTTTTTTTTTTTTTCTGGTAGAAGCCAGAAATCGTCGGAGAAACCAATGACAATGATGACCAATGCCGGAGGAGTAGGGCCCTTTGGCGACACTACGTTGACCAAAGTCTTCGTCGGAGGATTAGCATGGGAGACTCCCAAGGAGGCCATGAGAGATCACTTCGAGAAATACGGCGACATTCTCGAAGCTGTCATTATCTCCGACAAAACAACCGGCCGATCCAAAGGCTATGGCTTCGTATGTATCTCTTCTTATCATGCACCCCTCTCTCTGCCGTATGATGATTCCTTCTCAACTGATTTTTTTTTTTTTTTTTTTTTTTTTTTTTTTTTTTTCTGTTTCTGTTATCCTGCGCATCAGGTGACATTCAAGGAGCCGGAATCCGCTAAGAAAGCTTGCGAGGATCCGACGCCGGTGATTAACGGCCGCCGTGCGAACTGTAACCTCGCTTCCCTCGGCGCACGCCGCCCGAGATCGCTAACGGTTGTGCCACCGCCGCCGCCACCACCACAGCCGCAGCAGCAAACCGGTATTTTTTTTATTTTATTTTTGCCTCTTTTCCCCAATCAAATAATTAGGGCTTATTATAATGAAAGATTCAATTACGTTTATCAATTATCAGTGCTACCTTACAGAAACAATTTAAGCGTGTGTTTGGTCTAATTGGAGTGGTGAATCGTTTTGGATTTACGTCATTGTAGGGCCTAATATAATTGTGGGACCAAGATCTGCCGGGGCGATCACACCACCTCCGAGCCACGTGCAGTGGTACTACCCACCAACGCCTACACCGGCATCGCCGTACCACCACCACCACCACCAGGCCGCCGTTCCTTATTACGGATATGCTCCGGCGACATACGTCGCCACAACTGATGTCAGTTACAATCATGTAAGTGGATCCAGATCAGCTGCAACTCACCTGCATTTATTCCCATGAATACGCACAGCTATATTCTTATTATAATCGTAATTAACCTATATTTGATAACAAAATAAATATAGCAATTCAAAATTTTCATCATTAATTATGTTAATTATTCGCATAACAATTCTTCTAAATATGGATATTCCGTAATTGCACAGAAATTAGGGTATACAGGTGGGGCCTACATGAATGGAGGGCACTACTCGCATGTGTATCCCAGTCAGGCTACGGTGGGTGCGCACACATTGATGCCAATGTACCCTATGAGTATGTATCAATACCATCATCAATCACAGGCAATGGGCCTACCGGCCCAATTCTTTTGTGCCCCGACATCCACTGGCCCAATTACTGCTGTTCCTGCTATTCTTTCAAAGCCCACTCCAACTCCAGGTATATATTTTATTATTTAATAATTTAATATTGATCAATAATTTTTCTTTAAATAATATACATACAATCAACGATTAAAAATGTTAGATGAAATGTTCATCTATAAAACAAAAAGAAAACAAGATACATTTTTGTTTAATTTTTAGAGTATTAAATTAAGGTGTCACACATGTAAATATGCTCCTTTTGGACATAATGTTTTTAGACCATTTTGACAGTTGGGATGTGGCAGAATCACATGGTTGAAAGATGAGAATACTTATTTGGTCCAACCTGTCAAACATAAAACAAGTTGGGTCATGCTTCTCATCTTTTTTTTAACCCATCATTGGTCCCTACATTTTCATAAAGCGTGCAACTTTAGTCCTTGTGATTCATAAAAGATGTTCTTTTTATCCTTTACCATTAAAGTGGTTTGTACGACATGCTTTGATGGTTGTACTATGGGAACTAATGATACAAGTACAGTTTGTTTGGCTGTTGAATAGGTACAGTTGGGGGAAGAAAAGGAAGCTTTGGGAAAGTTGGCTAAAAGTGGCAAATAACAAAAAAGGAGGGGGTGGAGTGGCTTGTCAGAACAACCTTATTTTATTTGATCTGCAATGCAATGACTGCTTCTTCTTTTCTTTCCCTTTTTTATTTCCTCTAATTTACATGATTTTTTATATTTAATTTTTATATTATTATTAATATTAATTCTCTTCTCATTAGGCATATCTAATTAGATTCATTCGTTCGTCATCTCTTTTAATCTCCATCTAACTTATTGTAATGGTAAACCAGTTAAAACTTTATCGTATTTTTTTTATATGGGGCATTGTTATGTTTACTGTTTTGATGTTCATTAAATTTTCTGTATACAAGAAGAATACATCCCGTAAATAAAATATAATTCAAATATATTTTATTATTGATTGAAAAATATAATCGATACCAAATTCATTATTTACAAAATGCTATTTATTATTACACATTACTAATGGTTAATTGATCCTGAACACCAGAAGCAAAACAATGATTTAAAGGAATCTTTGTTTTATGGAAGAGTCTTGGATTAATATGTGCCCATGACATTAAATTTTCACATTTTCAAACATCATAACATAGCATGACTTCTAATGAAATTAAATGTAAATGATTAGCGACATTAGCTTCTTAATAATGAGCGAGCAATATTTGGGATACTAATTTTTATTTATTTTGGAAACAGAGATTTTATAAAAAAACAAGCCTCTGCTTAAAAGAACAAGGCAAGGGAAAACAAGCAAACAAAACTACAAGGTTACAAATCAAACGAAATTACCCCTACATTTAACCCAATTATAAACTAAAGAGACTGTTGGATTGGCTGGTTTCATAGAGATAGTGAACATGTTAAAAACCTTGTCGTTCACCGCTTTCCAAAAGCACCAACAAAAGACCATACATGATCGCAACAACAACCTTTCTCTTCTTTGGGCAATGCGCCTAGTTAGCCGCAAAGGCAACGATCTCCTTAAAATAATTGAAGCTCTGAGAAACTATGTCACACCCTCTAAAGATCCAAAACATCATCTCATGGACATAAGGGCAAGGAGGATGTGCTAATTAGAATGAACACCAGTAGGGACAAGGTGGCAGGAGGTTGACGAGACGAAGACACCACGTAAGGCAAGGGTGGTGGCAAATGCGATGCGATCCAAACAAAAAAAAATTAACATTATTGAAACAGGTCACTTTGAGGGGGACCAAATTCGTCCAGATAGTTGGGTTGTCCGCCCCACGAGTGAGTTTAGAATCGATGATAAACCTGACATTATTGACGTAAAAGTTTCCATCAGTGGAGAGATTAGAAATTCCCAAGAAGAGTATTAAGGTGATTAAGCTCATGCAGTTCGATAGGATAACAGGGAGCTCTTTTCCATTTCCACATAGGATTTGAGCTTGAATAACACTTAGAGACGAGGCATGACTTTTTGGAATCAAGAGAACGGAAGTGAGGGAATCTGGAAGCTATAGAACATACATCAAGGGATTCATCGAGCCAAAATAAAATATTAGAACCATAACCTACTTTGCATTTCAAAATTTGACCAAATGGTATGTCAAACCCATGAATCTCATGAACAGAATTGACAATAAGTACTAGGAAACGAAACTTTGGCAAGTTTATTCATCGGCTTCTTAGTGAGATTGTGAATACTACAAATCACCTTATGCCATATGTAACGTCGTAAAAATACAGATAAAATTTTTGTTTTTAAATTCATTCAAAACATACAATACTCATATCAAAACAGTCAAAGTGTATCATAGAAACATGTTATTAGAGTACAAATTCCTAAAATCTCAAAATGCGGAAACCGTAGGGTGATGAGGTGCGATCAGGTTGGGCCCTTCCCTTTTGAACTGGAAGTACCTGAAACATAAATTGAAAATTGTAATCACAATGCTTAGTGAGTTCCCCCCTTCCCCCCCCCCCCACCCCCCAATATACCTCATACCATAGAAACATACATCCAAGCAAATCTGGGTGCTTGCAATCCCCTTCGGTCTATTTCTTTAGCCGGATACTATCAAACATATATGGGTGCTTGCGATCCACATCGGTCTATTTCAACCCGATACTGTCAAACATATATAGGTAGTTGTAATCCCATTCGGTCTAATTTCAATCGGATACCGGGTCTATTTCACTCCTACCACTACCATATAATACCATAACAACGAATCATAGAGCCATCAAGCAAACACATGCATAACCGACAGTTGTCACAAAGTCAACCATCATTCTATAACATAAACTAGTAGGCCGACATTGGTGCCTTCGACCCACTAATACAGTGAATGAAACTCACCTTAGATTGAAGGTATCAAATCGCACTCAGTGGATGACTCGCAAAATCCCCTCACTAAGGCACAAGTATAAAACCCTAATTAGACATCAGACCAATATTCTAACCCGAAAGTCCAACCATAATTCTTGACTTAAGGCAAAAAGGGTTTCTTCACCCTTGCCTCATTAGGCCTCCCTCCCACCAAGACCCAAATTCATACAAGTCCAAAAAGACATCCAAGCCTAACTACAAGGCCTTTAAGGCCCAATATGGCCCAAGAGCACCCAACATGGCGTAAATCCCAAAAATGTCTTGTTACAATAGCTGGACCTGAGGCCCAATCCTAAACAAGTCAAAATCCCAACAAGACTCAAGCCCAAAAATCTCCTAAGTCCATAGACTAGGTACGTGTGACGTACATGGATCGTACGCTTGACGTATGCTGATGATCCAGAATTAGGGCACTAACCCAGTACATGCAATATACTCTAAAGTATGCCCGACGTATTGGCCAGTCTGCCTAAACTTGCACCCATATCTTAATGTATTAAGCTCTAACGTCTAAAACTTAGATCCCAGCTCATAATAGTATCTTAAGCCATAAAGTTGCAAACTTGATGCTCTTGCATGCCTCATTGGGACTCAAACCATGAATTAAACCCTCTAACTCTCTTAGGTGGTCACCAACACATGCATGGTTGAGTCTTAACCTTCAAGATACGATTTTTATGTCTTTATGCACTCCCAAGAGTCCAAAAGGACAACTCAAATGGCCTGGATTAGCCTATACTCCGAACAAGCAAGTTATAGGACCAAAAGATTCTAAAATCTTCCCTAAACCTAGATCTAAGTTTATAATGAACAAATTTCAAACTTTATACCTTCAATAGGCTAGAAATGATGCACACGCTCTAGATCAACAAGCTTATTCTTCTCCTTTGCTTCTCCTCAAGCTTCCTTCTTCTTCAAAACAACAAAAGAATACCCAAACACTCTATGAAAGCTCAAAAATGCACTCAAGATGGCTAGGATTTCTAGATTAGCACTAAAAGGAAATGGAGGTTGAATGGGTGATGCACTTGAAGGACTTAAGGATCTTAAATAGGGTGCAAACCTTGAAAATTATGGTTTTCCCCGGGCTTGATTACGCCAAACATATGCATGGGTACGCCCAACATACGCTGGGCTCACCCCGATGACATGCATGTATGGAGTACGGCATGCATACCTAATGTACACCCAACGTAGTCACAAACCTTTCACCACCTTTTAATTGAACTAAACATAATAATAGATTAATTCCTTACCTGACGACTCGGTCGCTACACCATAATCCATAATTCTCATATTTAAATCACCAAATCTATTTAAAAAGTAAATCAAGGTTAATGTTTTTTAAAGAACTGGCACATATGCCCCCAATTTCTTTGCTAGTAAGAACCGTTTGCCAATTAACCCAACAAATCTTCAACTTCTCGTTGTTACCTCCCCACAGAAAGCGTCTGTGAATGTGCTGAATGTCAATGATGACAAACATATGAGCCTTAAATAAAGACAAATACTAATACAACAAGCTCCATAAAACGGATTTGACAAGGGTTAACCATCCCTTGAAAGATAAAGACTTGGATTTCCAAGATGAAAGTCTGTTATCAATAAACTAAAATCATTTTAACCAACCAATGATAATTTTGCAAAACTCGGAAAGATTAAAACATAACCAAAATAAAAAATATATATACCAAATATTAGTGTTCCTAGCTAATCAAAGAGTAAGTTCTCTATAATGTATCCACTATAGCAAGAATAAAATCACTTCAAGATGCTAGTCTTGACATGTATATTAGTTGTTCTTAAGCCTTATAAGTATATACCAAATATCTTCAAATAAGAAGCAGCTAAGAGCCTTTAATCTAACACCAAAGTGCAAGATAAAGCAGGAGATAGGATGGAGAGAGAACCACAAAATATCTTGCTAAAATAAGAAAGAAAAGTCATCCAAAAAACTAGCTCTTCATGCTTGTTTATTTCTTTCTTTTATGCATCAAAGTATGTATAAAGTGAAGACCATAAAACATAAAGACAAAACCGCAAATTTAGTCCTTGTGGTTTGCAAAAAACTTTGGATAGGGTCCAAAAAGTTTTCGACTTGCATGGAAGGTCCAAAATCAAGGTTTTTCTAGTGTTTTTAGTCCAAAAAAACTTGAAATGATGGTTATACCCTTTCACTTTCTTTTTTATTTTTTTTTCATTTTTTAAATACTATTTTAATTTAAAAAAACTAAAATAAAATAACTCTCTCTCTCTTTCTCTCTCTCTCTCTCACACACACACACACAACAAACACAAACCCAATTAAACAATAACCAATATTCCCCTTCTTTCATAAAGAATCTGATGATCGAAAGCACACAAAAAAGAAATTCACGATTTCTACATATAGTTCAAATAAGAAATCCTCCAGTGCTCAATCGAACTATCCTCATTTTCCAAGTACCGATTTTTGTGTTGATTGCAAAGCGAGGAAGGGGCGTTTAGGTTTAAAGTTGCTAAGAAAATTTCAACCAAAGATCGGTATACAAAGGTTGATGATTGTGGCAGGATTCGATGTCATATCAGTGACGTCGGAGAAGAAGGATCATCGAAGATGGTGCTGCAAACCCTAGCACATCCGACGTAGAAAGAGAGACCACCAAAAATCGAGCCACAGAGATGGTGGCTGCCGACACTGGCCACTACTAATCGAAATCACCACCAACAAGACATTAGTCGTGGGTGGTAATGAGAGAAATTTTGATTTTATACTACTTCGATTTTTGTGATTCTTCGCTCCTGATTTGTTTTGATAATGCTTTGAACGAGATTGGATTCTATATGCTTTAATCTTGTTCCATCCATGTATACGTATCCTTATCTCATGACCCCCTAAAAAAGATGAACAATTTCTAGAACCATATTCAAATTTTGGATTTATGGATCTAGAGGGGACGATAAAGTTCATCGGACTCACCACTATCGTCCTCTAAAACTGTGTTCATATTTTATCCTCACAAGAAA